TGAGATGGAGTCTTACTCTGTTGCCCAGGCTGGAGCGCCATGGTGCAGTCTCAGCTAGCTAACTGCGCCTCCCAGGTTCAAGCAATTTTCCCACCATAGCCTCCCAAGTAGTGGGATTACAGGCACTCACCATCATACCTGGCTAATTTTTGTATTTCTGTAGAGAGAGGGTTTTACCATGTTGGCCATGCTGGTCTTGAACCCGACCTCAGGTGATCCACCTGCCTTGGTTTCCCAAAGTGCTGGGATTACAGGTGTTTGCCACTGTACCTGGTCAGATGTAGCCTGAAAATGAAAATTTATTATCTAACAGTTCTCTAGAAACATCTTTCTCACGTGCAACCCAGATTGATTTTTGTTTTGAATTAAGGACTCTTGCATCCTGATTTCTTCCCAGTGTCAAGATAATCTTGGCAAAGATTAATAAAACCAGAGTTGGAAAGTGTGTTGGTGCAGAAACCTCTAGCCAGAATCTCTTAGTGGTCTTGGTAGAAAAAATAAAGCTTTCCTCTTTTCTGTGGTCATCTTCTGGGCCTTAAGGTAGATTAGCCTAAAAAGTGTCTTCACTCTGTATTTGTGTTTAAATGAAAGCTGCCCTTTGGGGAACAGACTGGGGAAAAGAAATAAGGGGAACACACTTACTTCAAAGGGGAATACACTTACTTCACTTACATCTAAAGTATAGTGTCCATTTCTGGAAAATGATTGTTTTATACTCATGGAGTAATATTCCATCTTTGAATCTGTTAGTATATTGCTACTGAAGGCTTAATTATTTTTTATCTTTTTATAACTATGATCTAAGTCTAAGAGGCTGCCCATATATATGGGTGTTTTTGCAGGGTATTTACGGTAGAAGTTTTTGCATTCTTTGTTTTCAATATTTTTTTGAGAGCTTATTCTTTTTTCTTTGTCACCCACAGGTTCGAGAACTTGTCTTGGACAACTGCAAATCAAATGATAGAAAAATTGAGGACTTAACAGCTGAATTTGTGAACTTAGAGTTCCTCAGTTTAATAAATGTAGGCTTGATTTCAGTTTCGAATCTCCCCAAGCTGCCTAAGTTGAAAAAGGTAAGTGCTTTTCTTTTAACAGTAAAAGAGAATGATCCTGGGAAGGGAAAATGTATGATTTTACCTGTAAGGAAGCACTTAGTATAGCAGAAAGCACATGGCCTTTGGAACTGGGCAGATATGGGATCGAATTCCAGCTCTATTATTTCCTTGATGGGTGATCTTCTTCAGGTAACTTAATCTCTCTAAGGCCCAATTTCCTCACCTGTAAACTGGTGGTATTACCTGACCTTGCAAAATTGCTGTGATGTTTGGAAATAATGCATGTTGAATGCTCAGTAAATAGTAGTTAGGAAGAATAATTACTGTGTTTTGTGAGTAATTTATTTGTTAATTGTTATAAAACCAGTTCTTTATCCTTTCGAAAAAAAGGACCAAATGCTACAGAAAAATGTTTTCTTTTGTCATTGCACATTTAACTGTCACAGAGTCCCAGGATGTCAGAATTGGAAGAAACTTTGCTCTTCGAACCCAGCTCCTTATTTTATAGGCACAGCAGCAGTCCCAGAAAAGTATAGTAATTTGCCTAAAGCCACCCACAGAAGTGGTTAGTACTAGAGCCAAAACTAGAACCCCTCTCTCTCCTAACCTCATACCTTTTCCATTATATAGGAAAAGATGTGTGCTTATATAAGTATTGCAGAATTCTATGCCATTTCAATATTCACTTTACTAGGAAACTTAAGTTGTACCTTTTTTTAAACTAAGTCACACATAGAAGGAAACAAAATCAAACTTAGGCAAAGGTGTAGGCTGTTCCCAGAGCTTGCTTGAGTTCTGAGAGGGACAGTTAGTTTTTTTTGTATTGAAGTTTGTTGTTGTTTTGCAGGAAGTGGGATGGGTTAAGTATGATACATGAGGTCAGGTGCCAGTGGCTCACGCCTATAATCCCAGCACTTTGGGAAGCTGAGACGGGTGGATCACCTGAGGTCAGGAGTTCAAGACCCTCCTGGCCAACATGGTAAAACCCTGTCTCTACTAAATATACAAACAAATTAGCTGGGCATGGTGGCACGTGGCTGTAGTCCCAGCCACTCGGGAGGCTGAGGCACAAGAATCACTTGAACCCAGGCGGCTGAGGTTGCAGTGAGCCGAAATCGTGCTACTGCATTCCAGCAACAGAGTAAGACTCTTTTTTTAAAAAAGTATAGTACATGAATTAAAAACTAGAAGTATTTTTATACTTGCATGGGTTATCAGTGACATTGGAAGCTCTGATTAGCCCACTTAAACATAGGATGGCTTCTTAGCATCTATTTACATAAATTTGTTGGTAGCAGATCCTTAGTGTATGTTTTGTGTTCTGTTTTCCTGAATTACTATTGGTCTCTGTACTCTCACACTTACTCAGAAATTCAACCTATCAGTGACCATATTTATAGGAGAAGGACAGGATTTTGGTTTTGGTTTTTGTTGGTTTTGGGGGTGGGGAGGTTAAGTACATGAACTTAAAACTTTTAACATTTAAACATTAATCACTTCTTTTACAGGGCTAATGAGAGGGAATCATACTTAAAGGCAGGTTGAGTGTTCTCATGACTGATAAGGACTTTATTTTCTTCCTATCCCAGAATATAAACTGTTTTTTGAGACAAGAGTTTCATTCCTATTGCCCAGGCTGGAGTGCAGTGGCATGATCTTGGCTCACTGCAGTCTCAGCCTCCTGAGTAGCTGGGATTACAGGCATGTACCACCACACCTGGCTAATTTTTGTATTTATTTAATTTTTTAGTAGAGACGGGGTTTCACCGTGTTGGCCAGGCTGGTCTTGAACTCCTGACCTCAAGTGATCTGCCTGCCTCTGTCTCTCAAAGTCTTGGGATTACAAGCATGAGCCACCACGCCCGGCCCACAAACCTGTTTTTAACAAGAAATAAGTACTGAAAAAAAAAAAAAAAACGGTATATAAATGTCAGAGTTTTCTAAATTTAAACATTGATTTCATTTCAAAATACATATGCTAATAAATGTGTAAGTATATTGCCTTGTTATTCCTACTCCCTAAGATACTCATGTTGAGAGGATGTGGATGTTACATGCATATGAAATATTTCTAACCATATGGTCTAAAATATGGGTCAAGAAAAGTGATCTGTTTTTATTTTGATTTACTGAAATCATTAATAAAGCTAACACTTGACT